TGTCTGACAGATGTTACAGCAAAAGTTTAGGTGCATCTCTAGGTTCTGTCCCAGGGCAGCAGTGCCGTTGCATAAAACAATCAGCTGGAATTGAGCTCAGTTCAATACTGTTAGATGCTTACCATTTGTCACTTCCAAATATTATGATTTATTTGCTTGGGTTGCCCCACTGATGTGGAATTCTTTGCTTTCTGAGGTTCGTGGTATTAACTTAAAGTTCTAAAACCACAGCTTAATTTTTTTTTAATTTGCTAACCCACCATATAGTATTTATAGTGGTTTTAGGTATGATGCAAGAAGAATTTGTTCAACAATGCAAAGAAATACTGCACAAGGGTTTAGGATAGTGTATATGTACTGGATGTTGGATGATAACATGAAAGGGCTCCATGCTTGTAAATCTAAACTGGCTCTTTATTAAGACAACTATCTACAGAGATGCTGCAGCTAGTATTCTAACCATGTGCACACAGACTGACTTCCTGGTGCCTCCTGCAACTGGTGCTCCCCTCTCCAAGATTTTGCTTTGTGAGATTCATGGGGCTGCAATAGGCGCTCCTCCCGATTGTAGTGTAGACATATCTTCTGTATTGGGTTACTATCCGGTCTCTGGGGTGGGTGTATTGCATTTACCCAACATTGTCAGGGAGGGATCCCTTCCTATCTGTTTTGCCTTTGCCATCAGTCTCTTGGCTGTCTTTACTGCCAACTCTGTCTTCTGATTCCTTTTTGGGTATCTAGAGGAAGATACCTTGTGCTCAAATTCCCATTTGGCGCTGAATTGTTTGTTTGAATTCTGATACAGTGTACTGTCACCCACTGTCTGAGCATAGCATGCCAAGTATGCCATACCTTAAAAAATGCAACTTTAATTTTCTAATCCCAGTCCTTACCTGAGTGTCCTCTGGAGAGATCACTTCTCAGAAATTGGAGAAGTCTACTGTTACCATGTGGTTCCTGTCATTAAAAGTGATCAGGTCTGGGCCAGTCTTTTCTCTGGGTTGGGTGGGATTTCATGAAGCTATAGAGTCTCCATCTGTTGTTAGTCACTATACTCTTTGGACACCTCCCTCGGTTCCATATACTCTCTGTTGGGCATTCATGCCTGGCCATTAGACACATTCCATGTTTCATCTCATATAAGCCTCTGTCCCCAGGTGTGAAGCGTGTATCCATCTCATTATGTCAGCTCTTAACTCTGCTGGATTTACTGCTTTGTCTCCTTTAAACAAAATCCTGTCTTGCATGTACAACTGATGATTCATGTGGTAGTAGTCGGTAAACTCCTGTGGCATTTGCTCCTTGCAATCTGGCCAAGCCTGGAGTATGACCTTGCATTTTTTTTAAACTGCATGTAGTACCCAGCGCTGTTTGGTGCTGTGTTAGAATGCCCGGAGCCTCTCATCTGAGATTTGAAAGTACTCTGATAGACTCTGTGTCCTGTTCCACAGTTATAGGTGTTGTAGTCTGGGAAGTATGTCCTGCTAGGCAGTGCTTAATTTGTGCCAGGGCTTTCCAGAGCTGAGTCCCGGCACCTCTAGGCTTGGCAGTTCATAGCCCCAGCACTTTTGGGCTTGCTACATCAGCTATGAATGTAAAAAAATTGCTTGAGCCCTGGCACCAAATTGCTTGAGCCCTGGTACCTCTTTCGTTACACTTAGCAGCAGTGCTTAATTTGTATCTGCCACTAGTCGTGACTTGCTTGGTCAGTATCTCATCCTCACATCCTTGCGCTAGAGTCTCAGTGACAATAATTTGTAGTCCCTCCAAGTCCCATGCCGTTTGCTCCAGATAGGAAATGAAGAATACTCTAGCCAGGTGAGAATGTAACTACTTAATCTGTAGTGTTTGGCTAGAACAAAATAGAAATTTAGCAAGGACATAGAGGTATCATAGCTACTCTTATAGAAAGTGCAATAGCTTCTTTAATGACTTCGGGTAGTCAGGTTGTCAGGATGCACTTCATTCTAAGCTAGTAACATAATACCAATTTAAATATTAGAAGATATATGCCAGATTGAAAAGTAAAAAAAATAGGAGCAATTTGTCTAGTTGTGCAGGGTTACCTGATTTTCATCAGACGTAATCATCTTATCTAATCAAGCTAGTTGCATTTGGGGATGCTTGTCATTTGCCGATGAATTAATAAAGTTTTATTGAAATCAGATGTTCTGTTTTGATGCATTCCATGTCAGTTCTGCTCTTGAAAAGTTGCCAGAAAAATTTACAACTTTATAGTGAATTGAAAGGTTTCAACAATGCAACTAGCAATAACACGTTTTTTGTTAAAAAAATAATTATAAATATCAATAACGTCAGAATGTCTGCATGTAGATTCATACATTTTTGATTTGCTGTGTACAGAGCATTAGGAGTGCCAGATCTCATAGAAAACACAGGGGTTTATAGTACAGATTTTGAATGTGGTCTATGTTTCTGCTTAAAAAAAAAAAAAGACAAAAGCAAGCTGTCTCACTTTAATCAGAAAACATTCTTTATGGTGGACATTTTTGAAAAGTGCCTTCAGTTGTTTCTACTAATTGTGCCTCTTTCAAAAGCCAGTATGCTGGGGGGTTTTCATTGTTTTTAAAACTTTGTGTATGGCAAGCACTGCAAAATACATTTCAGAAACCAGGTCCCAGTTAATTCAGAAATGGATTCCATCTGTGTTGACATTGGCTGCACATGTTTACCCGCTCCAGCTGTGTGAAGTAACCAGTGTTCTAAAGGGGTCGAATTCAGACAAGCACCATTTGTGTTTCATTTCCCTTCTTTTTTTTCCCCACTTTCTTTTCGAATAACATTTAGACTAAAAACAAGCATTTTTCAGATCTCTATTGGAATCTCTTATTTATTGCTGAATAAAAGATAGCTTAGAAGCCTTGTGTCTACGTTGCATCAAAATATGCATGACTCTCTAGACCAATATTTCCTAGATGAATTGGTTTAATAATAGGAAGTTCATACATATACATATGATCTCACACACACACTGGGAAAATAGTTTAAGGCTAGACTGGGACATGAAAGTCTGCCTGGGCAAGGGGAGGCATACATCCAAGAGCAGACCAGGGAGCAAACTGACCCTAAGAGTCACAATTCATTACTTAGTTTCGCCCCTTGCTCCAAAGGGAAGTAATCTGCAACTGATATAAACCATAAGGAGATTACTCCCCCCTCTTCCCTGGCTCAGCAGAACAAAGCTCTGTCCACTTGTGTGTGAGGGGGCAATACCAGCCCCACAGAGGCTGCTCTATACAGTGTGGTGTCCGGCAGTTTAGGTAGCTCATAGCTAGCACCCGTTTGCTCCCTTGTGCAAATGCATAGGGCAATGTTATGCAGAATCAATACAATTTAGACATAGCGTGAATTTGAGGACCTGAAGGGAGGGATGACACCCAGGTTACAGACCTCTGTGACAGGTGGGATGGTGGTGTTGTCCCTAGATTGGGAGAGGAGGTAGCAGGGAGGACTTGGGAGGGAGGGAAGAGATTAAGAGCTCTGTTTGAGCCACGTTGAGCGTGATTGGCGCTCGATATCTTTAAGGAGATGTCAGGGAGACAGGACAAGATATTTGTTTGGTCAAAAGGAGACAGGTCTGGAATAGAGAGGTAGGTCTGTGAGTTCTCAGCATCCACATGGTAGTTGAATTTGTGTTTGCAGATGAGATTATCCAGAGATAAGGTGTAGAGGGAGAAAAAGATGTAACATACCATACAATAAACCTATGGTATTGAAAGGAGGTATCAAAATTCCCTTCAGTGTGAAACTGTAGGATTAAGATTTTACAGCAAACATGAGTGAAATCTATAAAATATGGTTGTTTTCCTACTTGTCAAAGAAATATGACAGTAACCTGATATGGTATAAATCATACCGTACTAAAATTTACCTTGTTACTGTATCAGCCTATCAGCAACTAGTGTTTAAAACTCAAAACAGATTTGTATTTAGAAAGCCAGTATTTTAAAATTTGATCTGGTATGTGAAATATTTTTATCAGTAAGTGTCGATTTTCTGAACTATTATATTGTCACCTCTCAGAAAGCTCTGCATAAAGTTATTTGGATTAACTCATTCATTCAGAAATGTAATGTAACTGAAGAACTAACTGATCACTGAACTATGAACTACGTGATCCACCAAAGGTCTCTTCCAATCCAGTGAATTTGGTATTAAAATGGTCTGTGCGTTGTTAGTGGAGGGTATATTTATGTCCTTTTACAACATGAACATTTGTGTCTCTGTAGAACAGCACACTGTTAGCATCCTCCGCCCTGATCCTGTACAATTGTCTGCACAGAAGAATTCTTGAATGGAGATTCCATGCAAGGATAGAGTCCAGCTGCATGGATTCCATTGTAGGATCCCGGGTTTACAGTTCTTAAATAAAAAAAAAGGCTTCCTTTCAAGGTGTTAGACTGCAAAACGTTTTTGACCTCTTAATATTTACATAGTAAGAGTATTTTTTTAATGTAGTTTCCATCCTTCATCCTAGTTCTGCTTCTCTGATGATGCTAAGTAATACTTTAGTCTGCATGTTGTCCTGCTGGAATCACTTGTAGTATTTACAGAGTAAGGTACTACTCGACATGAGCAATGGGGACAGATTTGTGCCCTTTGTGGCTTCAGAACATATCACCAGGATATGGAAGATGGTGTGGCTAAATTCCTTCTGCTGCTTTGTTAATCTCAACCACTAACCTATTATTTTATTATAACTACCCATGGGGAGCTTGAAACTTGGACCTATTTTCTTTCCAAAAGCTGCTGCTCTCCACAACCTCTGTTGTATAAAGAAGCATGACTACTTTACCTTTCCTGAGCGTTGCTTTTATGTATAATTGACATTACAAAAAGTCACAAGAGAATTAGTTGGCATTGCTAACCTTGGTAATGTTTCCATAATTAGCAGTGAACATTAGCAGACATCTTAGGTGCATTTTATTGGTCAGTGATCTGTTGGGCTTTTGATCTCATTAATTTCTTTCTTCATTTAGCCACCAGATAATGGGCCTCCACCTCTACCAACATCGTCCCTACCTGAAGGCTACTATGAGGAGGCAGTGCCACTTAGTCCTGGAAAGGCTCCTGAATATATCACTTCCAGTGAGTAATATATATCCTGATGCCATCCTAAGCAATTGTCAGTTTTAATGACTTTCAGTGCTTTAAAACACGAAGACATAAACAAAAAAGAAAACTTCTCTCTCTTTACATCCTCTATATTTAAGAATTATATGAAGGGCTCACTATTGTCCGTACCTATAAGGATAGATTGTGGCTGGTTTATAACAGGGGGATCAGGTAGGCATGCTGGACCCAACAGCAGTTTCTGATGTGAGTGACCAATACCTCCAATGTTATCCTGAGACACTAGTTCAATATCAATTCGAGTGCTACCTCCTGATTAATCACCAAAACCGATTACCTCAGCACTCAGGTCTCCCATGATCATATCCAAATACTTACCCAGTCTAATCTAGCTTACATTGTCATATGATTGGATCCCAGTGATAGAATGATGGTATGCCTGCCATTGAACAGTTGTGCAGGTTTAGCGAGCTGGGCATTTAAGTACTAAAAGATGGAGGGTGTTTTCCTGTGGGTTGGAGGAGGTAAAAAGGTTTCTTTTGCTGCTCTTATTTGTCTGGCAGAGTTAATCCATCACTTCTGTATGAATACTTTTCTGCTGGATCATCATCATTCATGACCCTAAATTTGTTAGACCATTTTTATTGTTGTTTAAATCTAAATGAATGACTAAATAAAATCTGTTCTCCTAAACAATAAAACAAGAGAAACATTATAGCACTAACAAATGATCTGTGTGCCATTTGTACACTGTGGTTTAGGGAGAGTCCTTTGTTTTTCTTGGAGAATGATATGTATGCATTAGCTCTAAACATAAAAAAAACTAAACCAAAGAAAATCTGGCCCTTGTTAATAGGAATAACTTAACCTAGGCAATTCGAGCAAAAAAATAAGAGTTCCAAAAAATGTAAAATGAATATAGACACGCTCAGCCACAGCAGTGCTCAGGGACTTTCCACTCCCTGCTTCTCCCCCAGAAATAGTGCAGGGTGGTCCTGCTCACACCCTCTGACCCAGTGAACTGCCAGTTCATGGTTAGCTGCTAAATGCAAGGGCCCAGCTCAAGAAGAAAATATTAGCTGCATTTTAAAGTACTGTACAGTAGTTGTTTCAGTGGGGCTATAACCCAGAACATGCTAACCAAATTTCAGACTTATTTTTATTAACCTTCATTACTATCCAGACCTACAGGAACATTTAGGGGAGATGGACCATCCCCCCACCTCCCATAAAGTTATATGCATAACTAGCGTAACTCATAACCTATATTGCCTCAACTCTGCTGAATTCAATTACCTTTTGTATTTGTCATCCACTCTTTTAACCCTTCTAGAAGAATACAAGTACTGTCAACAACTTTGTTTATCTGTAGTAAAGTTAGTGGCTAAATTCACCATAGGCCTTCTTCAGTGCTTGTTACCCATCTACTCTAGCAAAATTCCCATTGAGCTCATTTGTGCTAGCTTGTCTTATGGCTTTGTGAATAATATGAACATAAGTGACTAAAATAAAACCACCAAACTCATTTTACTTGTAATAACTGCAGCCAGGATATGGCGCTGATTTTGAGGTGGATGTGATTGAGAAGACACAGATTCTAAGGGCCCAGACTACAAAAACAGCATCATGAAGAAGTGGAGGGAAAAAAAGAGAAAATGCTATCTCTAATGGATTAAATAAATGTTCAAACAGATATAACTCTCTATAGTATATGTTTCTTCATACAGTAGAACCTCAGAGTTACAAGGGGATGGAGGTTGTTCATAACTCTGAAATCTTTGTAAACTCTGAACAAAATGTTATGGTGGTTCTTTCAAAAGTTTACAACAGAATACTGACTTAATACAGCTTTGAAGCTACTATGCAGAAGAAAAATGCTGCTTTTAACCATTTTAATTTAAATGAAACAAGCACAGAAACAGTTTCTCTACCTTGTCAAATCTTTTTTTTAAACTTTTCGATTATTTTTTTAGTAGTTTATGTTTAGCACAGTACTGTACTGTATTTGGTTTTTTTCTTTTTTCTCTGCTGCTGCCTGATTGCCCACTTCCGGTTCCAAATGAGGTCTGTGGTTGACCGGTCATTTCGTAACTCTGGTGTTCATAACTCCTGAGGTTCTACTGTAATAAGAATATTTTTTTCTACTATAATTAACAGTAAAGAGGCTCACATCTTCCATGTTCCTATAAAAAGGTGAAAAATCCACAGGAGTATAGTTCATGAAAACAAAATGATGGTGATTTCCCTATCTGTGGTCTGTAAATAAATATTTATCTGCAGATAAGAACAAGTCGAAGTGTGCCTCAACTGATGATGACTCTCTTTTCCATCTCCATTTATTGAAAAATACTGCTCCAGAGTGACCTGGTTTAAATTAGCTTCAGGTTAATCCTTTGAATTACCTTATTGGGAATAATGTGAAAATGTATTAGGGTATTATTTTCCTTAACAATTTGTATTATTTTTGTACACAGAAAAGTATGTAATTCATACAACAGAAACTAGAATAACCATCAAGCTCTGCCAAAAAGTGTGTGTGTGTGTGTGTGTGTGTGTGTATATATATATATAAATAAAACTAGGCTTGGAAGGATTAGGTTTTTACTGGTAAATGTCGGTGAACGTTGATTTCACGTTCATACACAACCCTCCAAAATATTTCCATTGATAACAATCAAAATTTACAGCTAGTCAAGTAAGAAAAATGCTACTTGCGAACTTATTAAAGTTGGATTTAAGGATATTTAATTTGTATATTTTGACATGTTATGTTGACAATTTGTGTTTTGACAGTTATAAAGCATTATTTTTTTGAATCCCAGGGTCCACTATAATTAAATTAGTGTCTAACTCCCCTGTTGTCTGAACCTCCCATAATTTCCCACAACCATGAAAATTTAAAATCAATAAAAATTGAAAACATTGCTTTGAAATAAACATTGATATTATCTGTTGAAATTATATATTAAAAAAATTGAATTCTGCCTATACAGTACATATTAGAATGGACTGCCTCAAATGTATGCCATTGTCCTCTACTGCATAGAGCCTGGACTCAAAAGTTAGTGGGAGCTACTGGATGCTCTGCACTTTTGAAAGTCAGACCACTTAGTTTAGGAACCTAAATGAGGATTTAGGAGCCTAACTTTAAACACCTTTTAAAAATAATCTTGATCATTGTGTGTGTTCCGCTAGTATGAAATTTTGAGGTCTAGCGGAAGGTCAATTCCCTGTAGGTTATAGAGACATTAATCTCTGGTTAGTGAGTGTGGATAGGCTTGAACCCCTTCCCTTCACCCTGTGTTGCTGGGGAAAAGGAGCAATCTCTCTTTTCCTTGATACCCATCAACCTTAATGTATTCTGAGTGTTGAGTTGCCATTCTCGACTACCCTGTCCTCCCACAGTGTCCTGTCTTCTGCAGAGGTGGTGGGGTAAGGTCTCACTACTCCCCCTTCCCCTAACTTTTTAAAAAAATCTTTCCCATGAAGATCACCTCTGCTGTAGCTCATTGCCCTGGCAAGCAGTTGAACTCACAACTTGTTTGTCAGTTTCCCTGTTGTTGCCATCAGGTTTCTGAATTGCTGCAGTGGTACTGCGTCTTTCACATTCAGGTCACACTTGGAAGGTTCTCTTTGCAACAGCAAGGACTAGAAACTTTTTTTTTTAAGGAAAGCTTAAATCTGCAGGTTTATGGTAGAAGTCTATAAAATCATGAATGGCGTGGAGAAAGTGCATCAGAAAGTACAGAGGAGGTGTGGTGAGGAAGGACAAGGGTTTACAGTACTAAGATTATATAGTTACTCAGTATTGATAATTGCCCTTGTTTGTACCATGATGGCAACAGCAGTTGGGGTAGTAGGGAGCCAGGTGAATAAGTATTTTATGCAGGGATAAATGACCCAGCCTGTGCTTTAACTCCCAAAGGGAGAACTCTGTGCCAAAACAGATGTGCCAAAATAAGATGTCTAATAAAATATGACTTGGTCTATAATTCTATTTTGTTAATAATGTGTATATATATACATTCCAAATCAAGACTTTTTAAATTGTTGGATGCAGAGTGCATGATGGTGGTGTGTGTCTGTGTGTATGGATACTTGAAATGCAAAACTGAACCTTTAAATTTGGAGTCCCCACCGGCACCTCCATAATTGGGGTATTAATAACCTTGATGAAAGTATGTGAGTGTTGTGAAGAGAAGTGCAGTGGTTAAGCAAATGACCTTGCTGAAAAGCAGTGAAGGAAACAAGATATTTGCTTGGGGCTTGAGGTAAAAAGAAACCAATTCTTCATAATACAGTAAGGAGATGACTGATAACAGTGGTATTTGGTAGATGGAACATTCTTTCGTGGAATATGAGAAAGTTAAAACATCCCATAAAATGGAAATGATTTATTAAAATACAGCAAAGACAGATACAATATTGCCTTTTGCCTCCTCAGCGTCAGATACACTAAAAATGCAGATTGGAAAGGTATTATGCTAGGCTCTCATCTGATAAGAAGTAGTTGTTGTTCTGTTCACATAACACTCTACTTCTTCAAGGTGTGTCCGTAATACAGCAGAAGAGTCTTAAATGTGGCCTAATGAAAGCAATATTGGAAGTGTGTAGCTTCTATATGCTCTCTTATTTGGATCTGATCTTTAACAAAGAGCCTTGTCAGTTCATTTTGGAGATAGAAATGATCAAATTGATGCACGCCTGTGACAAAGTGGGAATGTTCTTGATGTGGTATTTGAATGCTGAGTGGGGAATATTGACCTAGGAAGGTTGCAGGGGAGTTTTGCTGGAGCTGCCTGCATTGGGGAAGGGAGCATACCTAATCATGTAACATGAGAACCCAGGAGGGGGGTTGGAGGCCAGGTAACACCTCTGCCCCGGAAACTGGACAAAGGACACAAAGGCTGGGGGAGGAGCCGGGAAAAGGCCAGAAAGGAGGGGGCTGAAGGGAGTGTTCAGGTTTGGAGCTGGCTGGAAGATGGAGAGTGGTGACCCGATGAGGCTTGGGCTTCCCGACGGGGCTGTGGCCTCCCTGGGGCCCCCAGATGGTCCTAACTAAAGGGGGAGGGGGCTGTTGTCGGTACCGGCAAGACCTGTTTTGGACTGTGTTCCTGTCGTCTAAATAAACCTTCTGTTCAACTGGCTGGCTGAGAGTCATGGTGAATCGCAGGAAGTCGGGGGTGCAGGGCCTGGTCTCCCCCATGGTCCGTGACAACACCATCAGGAATGGGGTCCCGTCTTCTCACTTTATTTAAATGCTATAATGGTTTTTTTGCCTTTTCTGCTCTCCACCACTGCTGGCCACCCCTCTGGGAGTTTTCAGATTCAGAGGGAGTCTGGTGGCAGAGAATAGAGCAGTCAGGAAGAATGGAGCTGCCTTTCAAGGAGGATTGTTGCCAGAGGGATGGGCCAGGGTTCTGGATATAACTCTAGGGCAAGGGGATAGGCAGGCCTCCCTGAAAATGCTGATTTAACTACTGAATTCTGCATTTTCATGTTTCGTAATTTCACCACTTTAACTCTTCTGTCTCTGCAGGTAACATGTGGGTGTTCTTTTGTATGTCTGAGTTTGATCAATAACCTCCTAGGCATTTTCTAATTTAGTAGTGTAAACTTTCATAGAGCTTCCTGAATAACCCCTCCAGAAGGGTGTTTTTGTTTAGGCTCTTTTGTCGTGGTTTTCAGGGAGGTAATTAGAAGAGATGGAGATCTCACATATTATTTTACATGATTATGAGAAAATGAACAGTCTTTAATATAAAACCATTTTCCAGTTTGCCAATTTAAATTAAATAATAGATACTCCCTAACCTTTCCCACCCTTCCCTTTTATTTCATTTATTATTTTTTTTAAACAATAAAAACCTTGTAGTGTTTCTTAACTTTGGATTCATTTGTAGCTCTTTGCCATTGCCTTGCATTGGCTTAGTGCTGAGCCCTATCATTCCACAGCTTAGGAAGGATTGTGCCTTCTGGAGCTTCTAGGCATACCAGCTGACAGAAAGGTCCTCATTTAGTAGGGGGCACAGATTTCTGTGATAAGGATAACAAAGTTTCGCAGTAGTAGAGAACTAACCCCTAGCTCTTAATAACAAAGGGGGTGATACGAAGCCCACTTAAATCAAAAAGAGTCTTGCCATTAGGCCCAAAGCATGTGGACTAAGGAACATAAGGAGAGAGTTTCTTCAGAATGCTTTCAACATTAGCAGAGGCACTGGTGCAATCAACAGCACCGTCTATGTTAACATTAATTGTCTCATGGTTTGTAACTTGTTGCTGTTATAATTTTATGACATTTTGTACAGACGTGTATTTTTCTACTGTATACGGTGTAAATTACTTGAACATACAGAAATACTTGATTCCTTGTGAGCTCTGTCATACTCCATGTTTATTTCTCTACATGCTATGTCCTGAATATTTACATTTATTCTTTCCATGCAGACATTGTCACCAAGAGTTTAGTATTGCATTAAGGAATGGGGAAAGATTATAATTGCTTCCTCTAGAAAAAAGGGGGAAAATGAAATTGCAAGTAGCACTTTCAAAATAAGCAGTGTCTAAATGCTAAGCATTAATTCCCAAGTTACAGTTTTAGCTAAAATTCCTGGGGTATAATTATGGCTCTATAGTTAAATCTAATGATGATGCACTTCTCATTTTTATAGCATCTCATACTCAATAAACTTAATGTATTGATATTACTGAGGATTGAAAAATATATTGTTTTTGGTTTGTCTTTAGAATAAAAGGTAGTACTTAAAATAGATCCCATTACAGTTGTTCAGTTTTATAGGTGTATTTCATGGTTGATGGTTTTAACTGGGCACTTTTATACTTTCCTTAAAGATTATGACTCAGATGCTATGAGCAGCTCTTACGAATCTTATGACGAAGAGGAGGAAGATGGAAAAGGAAAAAAAATGAGACATCAATGGCCTTCTGAGGAGGCTTCTATGGACCTCGTAAAGGATGCCAAAATCTGTGCCTTCCTCTTGAGAAAGAAGCGATTTGGACAATGGACCAAACTACTGTGTGTTATCAAAGAAAACAAACTACTGGTAATTATTATTTTATTTCCTTTGCTAGATTTTGTTTGTCATTTAAAGATGTGATTATTTTTAAAGGAAAATGGCTTATGCTAAATATATTGTAAATAGCAATCAAGTTTAGTATTGCTGTCAGAGAGCATCGTCATGAACAAGAACCCAAGACCAGGGGTCCCATATCGATCGATTGATTGCTTTTTTTAAAGCCACTTAGAACGTGGAACCTGTCAGAGTGAAACCTACACCCTAGAAAATTCTCTGATGCAGAGAACATAGCCTGAAGCCTATTTCTGTCTAATATATTTCATCCCTGAAACCTTGTAAATCCAACCCTTATGGAGGCAAAAATCCCACTAGATTCTGTGAGAGTTTTCCCTGTATAAGAGCTGTTGGATCAGACCCTTAGAGAGAAACAAGTCCCTTGGCAGCATATGTTATTGTAATGTATATACTTAAAACTAAACCTTCGCCATCTGTTCTGCTGTAATTACAGATGCAATATTCACATAACTCACAGCTGCATCATAGAAAGGAAAGATGGAAGTGATTTAAATGTCTCTGTGTGTTCATTCTCTAGAACTCTATTATGTTTCTTTCATATAGTGGTCATCAGTTGCAGGTCCATGACTCAGTAAACTTCCTGCTGCAAGACTTGTTTCTGTTTAGTGAAAAAAGGATTATCTTATGAGTAGGGCCGACCCTAGGGGGGTGCGTGGCCCGGGACATAGGCGCCGAGTTTCTATCTGCCAGGAGTACTCCCCCTGGCTCTGGTAGGCCCTGCCCCCACTCCACCACTTCCCCCAGTGCCCCACCTGCTCCCCTACCTCTTCCCTGCCCAGTTCCACTCCCTATCCTGAGTGTGCTGCATCCTCGCTCCTCCCTCCACAGCGCCTACAGATGAAACAGCTGATCGGCGGTAGGCACTGGGAGAGAGGGGGAGGCACTGATCGGCAGGGCCCGCCAGTGGGCGGGAGGCACTCCTCGCCCCCCCACCTCACCTTCCCGCCCACCTCCTCACCAAGCGCAGGGCCCAAGGCGGTTGCCCCAATTCACCATACCCTAGGGACGGCTCTGCTTATGAGAGGGTTTCATTTCTACACCCTAAATCACGTGTGGTCTGTTTACTCTCTTCCTGTGTGGTGCCAACAAAGTTGCAATTAGCAGATGAGCTTATGATGGCTGTATCCCAACTTAAAAATTTGGTAGCAGCTGGAAAGGGATATTCCACAAAGGGGGGACCCTCAATTTAGCAACTCATTTTGCCTCGTTGGTCCTCATGGCCCAGATCTGTCAATGTTCTGAGTATGCTGCAAAGTTCATCTTCTACTTTGGCTGAAGGGGGAATGGACAGATTTTGGGACATAGATGGTAAGAGAAGAGGTTGCTGTAAATATGGTGGGAAATTGTTATTAAATGGGCAGTTCAATTTATGTTTTAAGGATATTATTTTTGCATTGTATATATTTTAATTGTCAAAAAAAGTTTGACTCTGATTTCATTCACCCTTATATTGGTGTAAATCCATTGGATTCACTGTTGTTAGTCCAGATTTATGCCAACATACACAAGATCGGAATCAGACTTTTGGAATGAAGGATAGAAGCTTAAAATCAAAATAGAGAGAGAGAGAGGAAGAGAAATTAAAAAGGCACATTATATTTCTTCTACAATTAAGTTTATTTATTTAAAATCCTGGTGGTACTCTTTTTCCTTTAACCACATGTTCCTTTAACCACTTGTGTGGTCTAAGAAATTGTTATTTTTCCCCCCAGGGTTTTTTCTTCCAGTAATACTGTAATGAGGATTAAGATAATAAAAATCATAACAGGAGTTGAATGAGCAATTTAAACAAGATTAGTTTACTATTGGAAGAAAGACCTAGAAGACTTAACCTATGAGTTATGCAGAAAGTAATACAAATATATATGTGTTTAGGGATTAGTTATTCCCTATATTATAAATGCAGCATTCAAATGAGACCAAAATGTGATATTTTAGATCAGAACCAGACATTCAATATAAATAATTTGGCCAATAATTGCTTTCTATACAGCCTCATCTGGCGCTATTTGTTATGTAAATGTGTGTTTTTAGTAAACTTCTTATATATACTCTGAAAAATAAAATCTAGAAATATATATTAAGATGTGCCACAGAAATGCTTCTTAAACTGCTAAAAGGTGATGGTGGCTTTTCATGCTCAAATAACTTAAGCATGATTTTTTTTATAAAACAAATTTCCTCAAAAAATTATTTAGCACTCAGCTGAGACCAGGCCAAAGACATTTTAGTCTGAAAGGAAAACAATTAGAAAATTGTGAGCAGTTACAAAGATTGGTTTTTAAATGATTCCCTTCTCAGCCTTGATTGTAGTGTTTGTAATATCCTGTTAACAATTGCTATATGTTCCTGAATCTTAGCACATAAAGTGGGTAAGGCAAGACTTTAAAATAAGGGGTCTCAGATCCATGTATAAAAATGCATGTGCATTTGTTAGTCTACCTTTGTGTTCGGTTATCCTTACTGCATATGCAGATAGGTCTTTTTTAATATCCAAATAGCTATTGTACATGCTCATGAAAATGTAGATGGGGTAAAAAGGCCAATTTGCACATGTAGTTAAGGTAACTGGACATGGAAATACAGGCACACAACGCTATGATCGTGACTTGTTTTTGTTTTAAATCTATTAATTCTGTGTATGACATCTAAATAAAACTGAACTGCACTGAAAGATTGAAAGAACTGAAGGATGGAAGCTCAGAATGGGCACTAGATGAGGCATCAGATGAGTCACGCTGTGTGAAGCCTTTCACCTTTAGGTCACAGCTTCAAATCTGGGCCAGGTTCATCGATGACCCAGCATCTGAAGGGGGTTCACTAACGTTTGTCACAGTTGAGGGGGAGAAAAGTTCATATCAGTCTTAGCAGAGAGTAAACCAACATGGAGACTGAACTACCCCCCGACTCTCTTATCCAGTTCAGGGTTGAGGCTTATTGGTAGGTAAAAGAAGCCTGCGATGGTATTCCCCATGCTGTACCTATTCTATGATTAAACAGCCTCCAGTAATGTCAGTCTGGCAGCCATTTCACTGTAGGAAAGGGGGTGATAGAAATGGATGCCAAGTTAGCATTGATTAACTTCGGTATGTGGTAAGGGGATGAGTGAGAAAAGCTAAAGCAGTGAAGTAATGCTATACAATAAGGGCTTTCACCAAAAGTGCATGAAATTAAGTTTTAACCTAATAACATACTTCATTTTTATTTAGTGTTATAAAAGTTCCAAGGATCAGCAAGCTCAGATGGAACTGCTGTTGAATGACTGCAGTATCACATACATTCCCAAAGACAGTAAAAAGAAGAAGCATGAGCTGAAAATCACTCACCAAGGAACAGATGCACTGGTTCTAGCAGTACAGAGCAAAGAGCAGGCGGAACAGTGGTTGAAGGTACTGGATGGTTTCTGACCAGTTACATATCTAAAAACATTTCTGGTAATAAAACATTGCGTTCGTTACTCAGTATCAATTGATATTAAAAGGTGAGATATGAAAATGTGGCTGTTTTTTAAATTAATGTTTTAGGTAGTTGGGTGTATTTTTCTTGTTCAGAAGAATGGCCCCATATATCCAGCCCTTGAGCTCTTTCGCCTGCCACTGACAACATCCTTTCACTTTTAGCCTTGTATGATGACACTTCTTCCTGAATAGGAATGGCTGTGTTTACTGAATTCCTCTGGTCACGTGAAATATCAGGCAGCCACTTTCAAGTGTACAATTTTATGAGAAACCAGATTTTGAATCCGTGGAGAGCAAGTCATAAGATCTGCTTTGTGCCACTAAAGTCTCTGAAACAAATCAGTATTTATTAAAATGCCACATGATGCTAAATATTGAGACGGGAGAAGGACGTTTTCCCCGGTAACTTCAAATTACTGAAATTAGTTTTGGTATTGATTAAAAAAAATACAAGCAAAAGACAGTAGGTTTTAGGTTTGGGTTTTTTTGGTTTTTTTTAGAATTAATTAACAAGTAACTAGTGATTTGCTTTCAAACAGCCACCCCCTTCTCCCTGTTTAAAAAACTAACAAATCTGTTATGAAAATGTTTGCTTCTCTTCAAATGTAGAATTTCTCCCCAAAATGATAGTATAATATTTACTCCTGAAACTGCAACAACCCTGTTATCTTGTGATGAATCAAAGCCAGAAATGGTTGTTTTATGCTAATAAAAAGCCAATCCTCACCTTCTTTCAAATGAATACCATGCTTTGCATCATCATATATGCTCCCTCTTAAGCCTGTGCAGTGGGAACTCTTGCTTCAAAGGCAGTTGGCTCCACAGGGCCTAGCATTACCATTGGTGTTTCAAAAATAATAAATTGTAACCAAGGCAGAAAAGAGAGGGAAACAATACCAGTAAAGCGTGTGTTAGCTTTCTAGAACACACACAAAAAATGGGGGGAGTGGTTTCTGTAAATTGTGTGTAATGCAAAATAGATGATGATCTAGATTGGTTAAAGGTTTTATTGGTATTCCTTTGGCGTGACCTGCATAACTTACAAGAATTCATGGTTTTGCCATTCATGAGTGAAGCAGCTACTCCAAATTCATACCAGTAAATTTCTGTTCCACCCGGACATATTTACGTTCTTGGGCCCTTGATCCTGAGAGAGCTTATGTGCCTGAGTAACTATGCGTGTGAGTAATTGCACTGAGTTCATATGCCGAATCATATGGGTGCCATGTATGTTGTGGATGGGAATTGCAGAGATTAGTACACATTGTTCACTTATCTTCTTAACATCCTGGTTTATGGAAGAAATTCTTTGTGCCCATAAGTGAAAATGTTTTCTACCAAACCTAGCGCAGGGCTTGTAAAATCCCTCTTGACTGGGGCAAGTTGAAACTTGGAGTAGGCAGAGGGGGCTGTTGAGCAGAAAGACCCAGGTACTGCTTGCTGCTTTCTGATATAGCAAGGGAATAGTGTAGCCCTGAACCACTACACCTTTAAGAGAAGGGGAGGGGAGAGCTATGGAGCAGTTATAGGAGGGGAGAGGGAAGCTGGGGAGCCTATGAGTAGCAGGTGTGGTTGTGGAGGTAAATGGATAAGCTTATGTGAGAGTGGCTGTGAATATGGATAGGTATGAAGATGCATAGCTGCTATGCTTTGCACAGCTCCATGTGGCATTTTATGCAAATTAGTTCATGAGCTAATTTGCAAATATCCATAAACTTCAGTTTATGATATACATGTTCTCCCTAAACAGTGGTAGGGGTAGGCCCAGGAGTTGGCCAAAATCTTGTCAGTAGAAAGTGGGGGTGACTGAGGGCAGCTGGTGGCTATCTTAGGGGCAGCTGGGTGGGCGGCAGAGCTGAAAGCAGTATGGAGGTGCCTGGAGGGGTTTTTGATTGATGGGGCTGCTGGGACTGGCTGGTCGCTGGGGGAAGATGCAGGGGGGGAATTGGTGTTGGCTGATTGGTTGCTGGGGGTGATTGCTGCTGCTGGGGAATTTAGGGTGTGTCTTCTGATGGGTGTGGAGATGTTTGCTCGTGAGAAGCCTGGTGGAGCTGGATGTGGGCAGTTGTAGGGACAAAATAAGAGAGCTTGATGCCAGCTGGGCCTCTCACCTTGTGTTGCTGGTGCCAACGCTCCTTCCTTCAGCTGGGATCCAGCAGGGGGAACAGTGAGAGTGAAGCCTGCCTGCTCAGCAGGTGACATAGAGGTCAGAAGGCACAACTGCAACTCCTGCCTACAGAGCTATGGGTAGGTGTGACAGTGTTGCCAAATGAGTGTGTCCCATGAGATACAGAACACCTGTCAGCTCTGTAGATGGGTGCAGATGTCTGTGTGAAGAGGAGGGGGGAGAGGAAAAAAGTGGCGGAGGAATTAGAGAGCACGATGTAGCAAAAGAATGAGGAAGGTACATAAGCGGAGGAGGGAAATGGAAGGGGAGCAGATGACACTGCAGGAAAAAGATTAATCCTGAGCTATGATAGGAAAGAGAAAAAGAGGGATGAAAGCAGGAGGGGAAAGAATATATAACAAATCGAGAGACACAATAAGAAGTAGCACTTTAAAATGTATTAAAGAAAAAGATAATTGGCAATATGTTACTGTAAGTACATTACTCAGGCACAGCTGTAGTAGTACTGTCAATTGCAGGGAGCACGTGTTCTGTGCATGCAGAAGTGCAGGTATGTTTCAGTCTGTCTAGAAGGTTTAGTCCAGGTTTCAAGTCCTGTTCTAGCAGCGTGTCAGGTGTTGCAGTTTGTCCTGGAAATGCAGACTTCTGAGAAACAGGATTTTGCCATTTTTCACTCTGTTCTGTTCAGTGTCTAGAAATGTGGAAGTCCCCAGTGCAAGTACTGCAGTTTCAGATCCTAACCAGATTACTAGTATTTATGTTGGACTTTGCTGTTCTCAGATGTGAAGGTCAGTGAGGTAGTGTGGGAAACTTAAGCTATAGTGGCTTTTTTTAAAAACTTTTAATCCAGCAATTTAAGAGCATCTAGAAGTCTGAATACATAAGAATCCACCCAACATTCTCTATGCTTTGCTCTGATGTAACCATATATGGTACTTATTTTCTGAAGAATAAATTGTATGTTTCTAAACACGGTTTGATTAAACACGTAAGAATTTCCTGATGGCATGTGGGCTTCCTATGGAAAGAGAAGAAGTGAAGAGCAGTTTCAGAGGCATGACTGCATGATGACTTGCTGAATGGAAAGTTAATCTGTAATTCTCTATACCACCAGATTAGCCTTTGTTCTGCTCTTTAATATCTCAGGCAGAGGCCGCCCTACGCAAAATTTCAGTGTGCCACCTTCCTCCTATTTGCTTAGAAGTTTGTGGCAGGGATCCACCCCCCAGGAGCCATGGACCTGCTCCCTATCTTCCCCCCACAAGTCTTCCCTGATGTCCTTCACCCCCTGGGCCAGTGACCCACTCCCCATCTGCCTCCTGTAACCCTTCCCCAGCCTCCTCCATCCCTCCCAGGGCCAGGGACTCCTGACCCACACTTCAGTTCTTTTCCAAGAGCCACACAGCTCAACCCAGGCCCCCCTGCACTTCTCACCCCCCAAGCCTGCACCCCTGCCTGGTCCCCAGCAAGCCCCAAGCCACTCATACCATTCTAGATGAGCTCTTCACAGTCAGGCTTGTAGTACAGGGCCATCGCAGTGTGAGTCCAGATTAGCAGCCAGGGCAGGTGCTGAGAGCTGCCCAGGCACCAGGGTCTGCAGAGGTTGGGCACTGAGCAGCAGATGTGGGCTGGGTGCTGACGTGGAGCCAGGCAGGTCACTGCTTTGGGCAGTGCTGCCAGGAGTAGTTCAGAGCCACTCAGTGCCTGAGTTGCATCTGCAGCCACAATCGTACCTGCACTAGGGGTGGGGAGCGGCTAGGGATGAGAGCATTTCCTCAGCAGCCCGACTGGGGTCCGCTTCCTGCCCCTAGGAGCCCCAACTGGCAGCCCCGCCAGCCTCATCACCTGCCACCACTCCTGGAAGGAACCAGGGGAGGTCCTGAACTCTGCCATCCTAGCAACTGCCTAACTTGCCTGTGTCTAGAGCAGACTCTGATCTCAGGATTTGATATTTGGATTTTCATAGAAAGTAACAATGATCTCTTATAGGCTATTTATAACACCAGTACTTTTAAAAAGTAGCACTGAATAAGTGTCCTGTTAATTCATTTAACATTTCATAAACACTGATTGGAATCTGTCCCGCATGCGCATATGGCAGCTGATTAGAATGAAATGGCATTGTCTGTCACATTCTTTTTCAAAGGAATTTCATTGTAATTAGATCATATTAAATGCACTGTTATTTCCTGTGTTGTTCTAAACTTGGATTTTGCAATGCTGAATGCATTGGCGCTTATCAGGCTTTCTTTCATAAAACATGTCTAATGTATTTATTTATACACAAAACAGTCTTCACAGACACAGGCAGAGATAGTTATTTCCACATACAAGGCACATTCCTGCTACTAAAAAAAAAAAAAAAGGCTTTGCAAAATTGTATCTGTGCTGAGAGTGAAAGACTAGGCAATCTGCAGAACGTTTGGAGACAGATTGACAGTAGTTTATTCAGTTCCATCACACTACAAAGCTTTTCATTAATAAAGCTATTTCAAGTACATGGCAAGGCTACTGTCCTCTCAACTTCCAAGATTACAACTTTGCTATAACATACTCCATACTATACAAATTGCCTGCTCCAGAACAATCCTAAAGCAGTTTATGCTGTGTTGGCAGCAGCTCAGTTTTAGTCAATTAGAAATACTACTTTTCAATGGAATACAATGGTCGGATGCCTCAGATTTCAAGTTGCACTATTTTGCAGCTAATGTTCTTTTTACTGTTTACCCCATAACTCCCTGTCAGCTCCTGCAATGTGTGTGGATGTGTGCAGGAAAGGACAATACTGGGAATGAGTTCACTG